TTTACAATGTCACAAAAAAAATGGAAAACAATGAGCCTCGTGTTAAAACTAAATTTAATAGTATACTCAACAAATTCCTTGAGTTATTGTTTGCATACAACATCAAAATTTGGTTTTAGTTCGGTTGTGGTAGCAACAGGCGGGCCATACCTATTTATCCAACTGGCCAGATTCGGCCCGAGGGCTGTATTTGCCTATGTCAACTATCTACCCATAGTAAAATATTCTTTCATCTCGCGAAAAATAATATTTACATTTAAGGCCAACAAAAAGGCCTCAATGCAGAGAAAGATGCGAACCCTGTCGCAAAAGTTATTTCCGAGCCATTTTATGAGTCGGAGTTTATAAAATTGTCCCCTGAGCATTAAAGAAGTGGTCATATAAACGTTATAGTTAACCCTTCATATAAATGCATAAAATATTAAAAATAGCTTACCGTTACGGTGACAAGCCCTCATGCTGGCGCAGAAGCTAAGTATGATCAAGGCAAAAAGTAACAGATGGCGCAGAGGGATAAATTCCTTGAAGTAATCCATATTAGTGATGCACAGCTATGATTTTTGTTTTATATAGAATTAAATATGGTCTGTATAAAGTAAATGATAAAAGTAAAATAGCATAAGATTTTCTCTAATTTTTTCATGAGGAAACCAAGCTTTTTTAATCGACAATATAGATCAAACTCCAACATATTTAATGAAACTGACTTAGGATGGGATTTACGTATTAATCTCAGGTAAGAGGAAAGCCGATAAGACGGCTAAATCATATGGCGAACCACGGCCTCTCGTCCGGTTACCAGTCAATGTTGAGTATGGGATTAGTTAGCCAGTGATTTGCTTTCGGAAGCATGGACGTGATGGATGAAAAAGTCATAATCGACCAGCGATTACGTGAATCACTCTACGCCGGAGAGGGTAATCCAATTGCACAAATTGTCGCGCATGTTATTCGAACCTGAAGACCCGCGCAGAATGATCAGAGGTGCGGTGGCGATATTATTTCCAACGCTTAGCACGATGCGCAACAACGCCGAGATAGAGTCATTGACTCGAATTGTGTTGGATTTTAGTCACCATCTAACCTAGACTCAAAGTAACTCGGGTCATCTGAACGAAATTACTCTGATTTTTGCTCAACTTGGATTCAAACTTTTTTTAAACAGAAATAGGTAATCAAAATCGATTGTAATGACCGAATGCTTAGTACCACATTAGCCCTACAAATTGTACTAAACTAATTCATTGCTGGCTTCATTGATAGATTGACAATTTTTTTCTAGAGCGTACTATTCAAATAGTTCAAACATAACCAGTTACTATTTAAATATTCTCAATAAACAACTTATTACAAACAAAATCCTCAATGTAATATAAACTATACAAAACTAAGAAAAGCATGATTTCAAGAATTTGATGTTCATTAGAGAAAGTCGAAGCTTAATCATTCGAACCCTCTTAGCGGGCTGTTGGGCGATCCTGCAATTACAAGTACTACAGAAATCTAATCGCCGATACAAAACATGTTTCCTTCAGTGCGCAATATTGCTATGATGACAATTTTTCTCATAATCATATATATAGTATACAAATATAAAATACAATTAATATATTTTACTTATTTTGGGTTTGCTTTCCTAGCTCCTTGTTGTTTTGTGCTGATTAATTTTTGGGGCGCGGTTTGAGTGAAACGACGAACTATTTTTGCGTTATTTTGTTCTAATTGGGGACTGTTATGCAAATATAACTATCAAAAGACTGTGAAACCAAATGATGAGAATTGCGTACTTAATGAGTAAACAATATTTTAATACTACCGACAAAAACAGCGTGAAATTTTCTCCTTGAAATTATACAAAGAGACAATTTCTGGATTGTAATGTTAATAAAATAAAACATTTTAATAATTCTTCGAACTGTTGATTCTGTCTCCTCGTTTATTCACTGCCTCAGGTCCGTAAGCTATAGAATTCACATAAAACGCATGTATATTAGATAGTATCATCAGAATTCAAAACCAAATGGCACACTATCTTGTAATCTTAGTGTGAAACCACACTGTTATTCATAATTCAAGTATGATTGTATTTTAATCATATATATATATAGAGAATATGGCATGTTTACCTCTGTAGATCGTCTGTCAAAAACTTAACAACACAATTTTAAAGGTTACAAATCGTCACGCTAATAACCGAATTGCGTAAGTCATTTTTAGCAGTTTTGAGAAAAACTTAAAAACTTCCTAATGATATTGTTTTGCCATTGAGAGTCAGTAATTTGCCATGGTTCAATTTTTTGATCATATCCGGATTTAAGTTAATTTGTATGATGCAGTTATGTGACGTCATAATGGCGCACTGTGACTTAGGCAAAAATGTGTCTATGACTTGGGGATATACGCAATTTTGAAACTTCACTATATGCACCAGTCCTGAAAACTAAACATTCCAAAAACGAATGTAATTCTCAGTATTTACAATGTCTAATCCCCAAAATAGCTAATCAGTTTTAATTACATTATTTTTTATGTTTAAAAATATATATTTCATCAATATAACACGTTCTGCACACCCATCAAAATAAGACTAAGATTGAATATAAAGAATAAAACAGCAATGCACCCAATATAAAAGCCAACCATGGTAAATTGGACTCGGACAGTGAATATCACAAGTGCACGTCTTCCTATACTGTAGTAAAAATTCAAATTAATACGCGCTATGCTAGAATCCGAGATGCAAAAACTCGAAAATACTTCGCCGATTTTATTTTGCTTTTGTGACGTCACAATAGACCTACGGTAACAATGATAATTCATTATGACAAAACAATTGCACAAATATGCATGTCATACTAAGTCTCCATTTTTATGGGTTTCGGAATTCCTAAAATAAAATCTGAGGGAACAGACAGGTGCGCAGCATTACATAAATACCTATTTTATAAAAAACTCAAAAACGCCAAAAATGACTTACGCAATTCGGTTATTAGCGTGACGAAATAGTATTGGTAATACCAAAATATTCACCACTCCCTAATTGAAAAGCTGGTTGACATACAGGCACAAACTCTCGTCTGGCTACCAGTTCATGTCGGGTATGGGGTTAGTAACTAACCGTTGTTAGTTCGCCAGTTTTTTTTAGATGCATGTTGTTCAGGGGCTTGGTTGTTTAGGAAGCTGTGAACGACCAGTATTCTATGAAACAAGATTCGACTGAGAGTCAAATAATTCTTTCGCACATAATAATTCCCACAGAATTAGAACTTGCGGACACACACATGGTAATCTGAAATGCGATTCCTAACCCTTAGCACGTCAAGCCATTATCTTAAATATCAATCACTAAAATTGCGGTCTAGCTGTATCTGGTAATATGAATCATGTCTGAGGTAATGGAAGAACAATAAATATAGACGTGTGGTAAACAGTTGAGTCTATCCGATAGGCTTGCGAATACGGACTGGTTAACTTCAACGGGCCCAACTGGGAAAGAATACTGTTTTGATTTGCCGTAGTATTACTGCCATATTATTGGACACGAAAATTTCCTATTATGTTGTTGGTATTTTTGATGTTACCGTATGTAAATAGAAGTTAACATTTTTCACAGTGACTACACTACACTACTACACTACCTTTCACATTTTTCACTACCAAGGCAATTGCTTTGACATTTTGACTGGTTAAAGTTTTTATTTTCCCCCAGAAGGATATTACTTTTATTTATTTAAAACATTTTCTGTTGGCAATATGTGATTTTGTTAACCAGATAAGACATTTAAAAGTCTTCGAACTGTTGGTTCTTGCTCCTTGTATACAGTACTCACTGCCTAAACCCCCTAGGCTACAGAATTCACATGAAATGCAAATTGAGTTGTATCAGAATTCAAAACAAAATGGCGCTATATCTTGGAATTTTCAGATTTATTTCATGGGGGAGGGAAGCCGATAAGGTGGATTATTAATATGGCGAACTCTCGTCAGAGTGTATAAATCACCAAGGCTTCTCGTCCGGTTACTAGGCCAAGTTCAATGTCGGGTATGGACTAGTTAGCCAATTGATAGTTTTCAGATGCATGAACTCGTTGGTGGAGGAAGCCGGAACCGACCAATGGTTACATGTTAAGAACAACCCTTAGCGGCGAAGAGTTCAGCATTATTCTCGCAGATAACCATCCTCCATCTGATTCGAAGCCACGCAGGGTAATCAGATGGGCTATGTGTCACCGATAAGTTTTTGTTACTGTGTTTAATGAAGTCAGGAGGCCCAAGATTCCGGATTGGTTATTTATTGATACGACAACTCCACACTTTTAACATCAAAAGCAGCCGACCTCCAGCCGAATAAGAGAGTGGGATAAAATAGGATTTACATATTTATCCCGGGAAGAGGAAAGCTGATAAGACGGCTTAATTATATGGCAAACCACGGCCTCTCGTCCGGTTACCAGTCCAGGTCGGGTACTGGATTAGTTAGCCAGTTATTTGTTTTCGGGAGCATGGACTTGATGGTAGAGGAAGCCGTAACCGACCAGCGGTTACGTGAACCACCCCACGGCAACGAGGAGTCCAGCAATCCTCTCGCACATGATCAGAGTATGATAAGAGTATCTTTTTCCTCTAACGTGTAATGGAGGGTCGGAGTCGAATTAGCAAATTAGGGACAAGCATACAAACCTAAAAATTTATATACACATAATAAACACGGACATTATGGTCCGTGACAGATGACAAGCATATTTTTAACGCTTAGCACTACCTGTCACCGGTAACGCTATGTATTTGTGATAAATATGTTATTTTTCATTGTCTATAATCTGTATACTTGTGTTAATTTTATTTCTAAAGAATAGGTAATGAATAGTTAGGGTAGGATATACCTATTTATACCGGGGTTCGACGCGTTTTTATCAGCAAATTAGTCGGACTGATATTTTTTTGCGGCAGCAAATTCCTGATATAGTTTGACTCCGGATTTTTTCCGAAGTGGAAACCTGAGTGAAAAAAATCTCTGCATTTCATTTGTTTGGGTGAGGTTCTGAAGTGCCGTGGTGGGGTAGCGGAGTACAGGAATACGCTACCGTACCTGTATCGCTGTGTTAGTGCATTCGAACTGAAGCATGTCAGTTCCAAGCGATACAGACGAAGTAGCTGTTACCGATGCCAGGCCGTCTATAAATGGACTGGAAGAAATTGAGCCAGGTAAGCCGATGGCGACGTTTTTAGATTGCGATTCCTATTAGTTTATCGCACAGGTCCGGATTGCCGACTTGGAGGCCCAAACTATCTTTGGAAGAAAAGGTTTTTCACTCACTATTAATAATAATTTCTCTCAATGTGGAGGCTATTCTTAAAAATCGTAGAAATGTTGAATGTGTGGTATTATACCGGTACGGTACATCTGTAGGTATGTTTTGAAGAATTCACTCCCGATTTATTTTGATACGGTACCCGTCTAAGTCAGTAGTCCTGTAACTTAAACACCGCAGTGCCACGGCTTGCCATACTGCCATATAGGGTGGCTCACCCACTTTGCGGCCACGACCTATTTGCGGCCATCAACTTCATTGATCTAATTTATGTCGAAAAAATTAACGAACCGCGACGTTATTTTTCACGCCTTATCGTCCACGTGTCCCTAAAAATGCGGTCACAAACAAGAAAGTTACGAGTCGTAACTTACGACCGAAAATAAAAAACGGACTATTATTCCATTAAAAAAACTTGAAAATCCATACAAATATAAGAGATAAAAAGATGAAACTTGGCAAGAAGGTCAGAAGGTAGAGTTGTGTTTCTTTTAACCAGCTTTAAATTTCCACGTTTCTACATTTAAAGGAGGAGAAATAGGAAGGCGCGCATTTCCAATACGTCAATAATATCTTTGTCGACCAATTTGCGACCACCGTGTTTTTGTCTGTTTGATTGCTGTGATGCGGTGCTTCAGTGCTTTGTATATAATTTGACAAGTTTTGTTTGAAATGACTGTGTTCTTAAAATATATGACGGTCAGAAATGCAATTAGAAAGCCATGCGTATGCTCTAGTCTCGACGCTGCAGAAACGATGTTCAAGGCTTGAAATTCGTGGTCGCACACTGGTTGTTTCGGTCGCAAATACGTCTTCCGAGTGTCGTACTTCGATGGTTTGTATAGCTTTAACCCCTGGTCGTAGAAATTAATTCGAGGTTTAGCGTGTAGAATAAATGCCAATGCACCTACGGTGAAAAAATTTACGGGTTAGAAATATTTGTTTTTGTTTTATAGCGGTTTGAATTGAACCGTCCGCAGACTGGCTACACCACCCTACTGATATACATAAGCCATCGTACCGGTATTGATTTCATCTTTTCGGGATAAATTTGTAAGTATTCAATTCTTTTTCCTTGAATTACTAGGAGCAACGGCAGAAAACCAGTCACTCGTTGTGAGCGAAGAACTAACAACAGAAACTAAGGAATGGGACGAAAATGCAACTGATCACCACTTTACCAATGCTGCAGGAATTAAAGACTTAACTCGGCTGATGAGAAGGTTAGCTGTGTAATAATATTAAAATAAAATGCATTATTTTCAAAACTCCAAATCACAAATTACGAAAATAATAACTTTTGCTCTGGAGTCTGAGAAACTTACAATCGGGGATTCTGGATTGAAAAAAGATGAGTTAATGAATTTACCGATTTCATGTTTCTGGGAAAATTCTGACTCCCTGGATGCTAGATCTTTGACACAAGACTCCGATCTTGGGAAAGTTTTAAAATATCCTCCCCATTCAGCCATTATCAAATATATTTTGATATTCTATTTGCTAATTACATCGAAATAAATGACGCGATTCATTTGAGATTTGTATATTATAATATAAAGTCAGTGCAATAATAAGTAATACAAGGAACGCAATGGTTTAGTGGTTGAAGCGTTAGACTTATCTTTGTTGACATTGCAGCTTACACATCTATTTTCCAATCCCCATGTTCTCCCAGTCTCCCACCCTATAAATTGCCTTGTGGTTCTCAAAAGGGCGTCGCGGTGCCCAAGTGCGTTGTTTCAATTTTGCTAGGGCGTTGCTAAACTTTTCTTATTTTGTGGAATTGTAGGCTACGCATGAAACTCATTACAAAAAAAGGTCTTTCATTAAAAAATATCAAGCCGTTTTAACGGGGAGTCGCAACTTGATCATATTTTTCGGAGGGCGTCGCAATATCAAGAAGTTTGAGAACCACTGGCATAGACAATGTTGAACCAGCAGGTTGCACACCCCGGGAATAAAACATAATTTGTATATTTAATTTTTCAAGTGTTTCTGTGAAAGCTGATGAAGAGAAAACGAAAACTCCAGTTCACAGAGCAAAAAGTGATTCTCATAAAACAGTGACAAGACATCCAAGTGGCAATTCACAACTCGGTGAATTCTCTGGGACTGACTCCATTCCAATACCCGGTATTAATGATGTTTTTGTATCTCTGTTCAATAGTTTTAACTCAAAGATGTTTTGATAAAATTGAGAAAACCTTATATTGTTGATTTTTTATATTACATTGATGGATTTTGCTTCAAACTGATTGAAACAGCTGAAAATAACTTTTTTCTTCGTAATAATTTAAAATTGAAACTACGATGTTTGATTTTTTGTTTTGAAACCCTCATTTTTTTTATATTCTATCTATGGATAGAATAAAAAAATAGCTAAATATAGAAACAGGACATTCTAGGAAACTGTAGGCCTTCGCCTGACTTAAATCCAATACTCTCTAAAGCTTTAAAAACGACAGTAAACTACCAGATTTTGACTTCCACTCCAGCCGCATACTCTGATAAAAGAATTCTTATGATGAAAATTTGTTGTATTAAAGCTTTTTTAATTTTTTGATTTAAGGATGAGTAGTGTGGAGTTGTAGTATCTGTCTGAAAATTTGATCTCTGATTATAACTACCAAACAAGATCATGTAGTACTTAAATCCTCACTTATCATAAGCCGAGTTGCAAACCAAGGGGTTGATTGCAATAAAAATTTGACTAATACAATCATAACTCACTCACACTCAAAGGAAATGACATTATGCATACAACAGCTATAACTCGAACCAAGTTTCCCCAATAAGAACGTGCAAGCACCATGCACGAAGCAGCTCTTAGTACGCTATGACAGTGATAACACTCAGTGTTTGGTTGTCTTACACATGAGTGTTTAATAGGGTCTACATTTTTATAAAGTCACCGTTTTAGGGCCGCTTATATGCGAGGATATACATAGCCTATTCAAAAAATCTGACAAAGACCTGTGTTGTTAAAGCGACTCCAAAGTATATTTAATAAATGTCTCAATCAAACAGCAATAAACGTCCAAAGCAATAACCAAAGTAACACACACAGACATAAGCAACACCAATTGAGCTGTGCGCGAGACCACTGAGTGCACATGGCCTCCTCACCTTCACAGGTGGTTGGTCATGATCAGTCACCTACAACTGATGACATCAAAGGTCATGCTCAATCATCTGGGAAAATCCTAGTTGCCAGAAATACAGTTAACATGTGTGTGATTCAGCTCGACTCTAGTCTCTGGGTTTCGAGCTCTCTATACGACACCGTTCATTTTATCCCATCCTTTCTTCAGAGCTAGACCGCCAGTTGTCAACAACAACAGCAGGGAGTGACTATCCAGACACTTCTACAGCTTCGTTCAATTCTGACTTTGAAAATGAAAACTTTTACTCTGGCGTTGAACAACCTAAAGATCTACCTGTAGATGAATCTCAAGTTGAATCTGAATTTGTTATGAATGAAAACTGGAGAATGAAAGAGAGACATGTGTTTGTGCTAACTGAAGCAGGTATTATAATAGGTTTTACATACATTTTTTTTTTGGGAGAGAAAGAATGATAGGACACTTTGGACCTCCTGAGATATGCGCACCAAGATGGCGCACAACCTGAACTCAGGTTATGTACCAGGGTAGGGTTCAGGTTGTGCGACATCTTGGTGCGCATACTTCTGGAGTACCAACACTTTATATTAGATCGAGTAAAGTCTATTCAAAGTTTCAGCAACAGATGTCAAATGCCTCTATGGATTTTCACTTGAAAGTAATCTGATTTAATACAATGGAATATAACAAATTCTAATATATTAAATCAGGGGTTGCCAAAGCAGGCCCACGGACCGAATCCGACCCACTTGTCTCTTCTTAAATTAAGACTATGGTATATTCATGAATATGAATTTACTTCGACAATATTGAATAAAATAACATCATAAATTCATAATGTCCCCGATTGTTACAATATAAACTTTATTCTAGTTGTTGGACTAGCTTTCATTAATAAAACTGTTTTTATTTATAGTTTTTCATATCAAGTTTCGAGCCTAGTAGCAAAGTCTATTATATGTAACTGGCCCACTCAGGAAGTGATTGCCCAACCCTACATTTATTTATGTGCATTTTAGAATTCTTTGCCAGAATATCACCTTTCTCCCCTTTACATAATTACTAAATCTTATTCTGATTTCACAGGCAAACCAGTTTATACTCGTCATGGTAACGAAGATAAACTTGCACCATTAATGGGCGTCCTGCTTGCTATAGTATCTTGCGTTTATGATAGAAAAGATATTCTGCGATATGTGGTGGCAGGAGACCATAAATTTGTTTTTATGCCCCGACCACCTCTCATTTTTGTTGGGATTTGTTCAACTAAAGAGTCTGTGCATCAGGTGAGACAAAAAGCAACATATACATTATCAGTTGGGGTTATTTGAGACTGACTACCTTCTCTTGCTTAATGCCTTTGCCCAAATGGGTTGGGTTCATATGTTAATAATGCAAGAATGCTGTAGCAAGAATAAGAACAACTATTCTATACGATTAGAGAGTCCTACTGCACACTAGCACAAAGGTATTTCTGTTACACTTCGTCTGACCAAATTTAATATACTCTAATCGATTATAAGTAGCTGTACACTGTACAGTAAATTTTATTAAAATTTTCAATCTTTATTTTTCCTTCAGATCCAAGTCCAGCTAACATACATTTACAATACAATAATCAGTGTATTAACTCTCAGTCAACTTACGAAAATTTATGACACAAAGAAGAATTTTGATTTGAGAAGGCTTTTGACAGGTAACTTGTAGTGAATCTGTTTATGTGGCATTTATAAATAAGATCAGTAGGCCTAATCATTAATCAGTAGTTTTCACCATGTTTAGAAAGGGCACACTCGGCATATAAATTACAAGAAATTATGCGTATGAAAAATAGCATTCCAGGGTGAAGAGAGACACAAGATACTAAAAATAGTTACCGATCAAAAAAAAGAGTCCAACAGAACATGATAAAAAAGAGAAAAAGTCGCACCATATATGACTTGTGTTGAAAAAACACTAAATTTGTCTAGGCCAGGGGTGGGCAACTTCTCTAGTCGGCGGGTCAGATGTGGGAAAATGCTTATACGTATCCAATCTTTGTTAAATGCTCGACACTCTCTGTCAACTTCACGTTTCTTGGGATATTCCATGGTTAATAAAACTTAATATAAGATTTAATTTCTACAATCCATTTGAATTTAGAATATAAATAAAACTGATAACAGTAGGGGGGAATGTTTACAACGCTCTCTGCTTTGAACTTATAGTGTTTGTTTAACAAGTGTGTTAAACAAACACGCGAAATTGTTTGTTCACTAAGGAAATCGTTTATTTCACCAGCTCGCACTGACAGTGCGTTGAGAGTAGAGCGATCGGCAACTTCCAAGGAATGATTTGTCGGACCGCATTACAGAGTGTGGTTGGATACAGTCAGCGGGCCGGTCAAAATCGTGTCCGGCAATATATTGCCCACCCCTGGTCTAGGCCATAGGATTTTAAAGTGCTCCATATGGCGCCCCAGGGCTCCGCAAGAGCAATCTAGGTGCTCTGCAAGCTATTTGTTTACTTATTAAAATATTGACTTGGCTAATCATGTAACTGTCCAAAGAAGCAATAATGACATTAGTAAAATTTGACAACGTTAGCATTGAAGCAAACATGACATTATCTGTAAGTTTCAATTACTGGCTTGTTGCCACAATTCGATACTACTTTATTAATACGCCTGATATCAAGTGTCAAATTTTTGGAGCAAATTTATTCTGGGGCTTCGTAAATAATAATTTACAGGCTCAATAACTCCCATAGGTTTCAGAACTCTTTGGTCTAGTAGGCGTCCTGGTACATCCAGCAGTTGCGTGTTTCAGCAAGTTAAAACCACTTATAGCTTTGTCAGTCTAGGTAACCATGGCAAATGACCAATTTACAGTGACAAGTATCACTGTCATTAAACATGACCTAATATATGTTATTTTTATATGATCTTCTTTGACTACATTTATTTTCTTACTTGCAGGCACAGATAAATTCCTGAACAACCTTTGTAAATCGATGGATTCCGAGCCTCAGTTCTTATTGCAAGCTGTTCAATGTTTGCCGGTCAATGGCAATGTAAGGGATGTGATAGGACAGGCACTACAACAGGCTAAGACTGAAGATTTAGCTTTTGCATTATTAATATCCCACAAGTGAGTTCTTATGTTTATTTTTATTAGGCCTGGCTGTTGGTGCATCATGCTAATGAGCATTAGGAACATACTTGGCATCACACCTCTGATAGCCTGTGCATTGCTCACAGGTGCGAATCTTGTACAGCATGATTATGTGAAAGGAGATTGCTGGACTCCTCGCCGTCATAGGGTGGTTCACGCAATTGCTAGTCGAATACGGCTTACTCCACCATCAGGTCCATCTGGAATAAATATGACACTGGCTGCTAACCAGATGAGAGGCTGTAGTTTGCCATTATCCTTCTTGTGAGCTTCCCTTTCTCCAACATGAATATGAAAAACCTCAATCCTAAGTTGTTGAGTACATTTTAGCAAGCCGAAATTCTGGTCCACAATTTAGATGTTCGCAATTCCTTGAGCTGAAATTATTGGAATATTTTTGGTTTAGCATAGGCATTGTAGGCCTTGGTTGCTTTGCGTATACATTAGAATGACCTAGTGTTGGGACTGACTATTTGAATTTAAATTTAATCATATTCAATATTATAAATTTGAATTATTAATACCGTCAAGAATTGAATATACCCAGTTTAAAATGTGTTGGAAAATCATTTTTGGCAGTGCTGGTGCTGCATGTGTTCTAAAAACCCTTTGCAGATCACATTATTTGATTATAACAGTGTATATTCTAATTCTTGACAAAATTTTATTTATTTTCAGTCAAATAGTGAATATTTGTCGATTGAAAGAACATAGCCTTCATCCCAGTGATATTCATGTCATATTGAACATAGTCAATTCCTCATCGAGTGCTTTTCATGCCGGGGAGAGCTGGACTCCCATATGTCTACCTAAGTACGTATTTTATTTGGCATATAAAGAAAGACATTTTTGAACATAATTGGTGATTCAAGAGTCTTTCCCGAAGATAATATCCAAAGTTGTCTTATCCATTGGGTTTTTATGTGACTCACTACTTATCCTTCTTCTATGCTTTTGTGTCGATGGATCCGTAAATGCAAGGCTGCTGTAGCAAGAGTGAAGATAACTATCCTAAGTGATTCAAGAATCTTGCTGCACACTAACACAAATATATTTCGACTGACTGGCAGTTTGCTAAATGTTTGTCTGAGGAAATCTGACTTTGGTGGGACGAAACGTTACAGAAATATATTTGTGTCAGTGTGCAGCAAGACTCTTGAATCACTTAGAACAATATTCAATCTAGATATTCTGACTGAAATTTATTTGTGTACTTGTTAGAAGGATGTAAGCTCACAGGCAGTTGCACAGATGTGCCCACATACGATACACGCAGGAGATCCAAATCGCTTCGTGGCTTGTATACCTTCAGATAAGCATAGTTGATAGTTAAAATATGCTTTCTTGGAGAATTTTAAACTTAGTTAGACTGCGTGTAACAGTCGTGTTGGTGTTCAGCATAATCAAATTAAATAGTCACCTCTGTTCTTGCTGTAGCATACTTGTATTACGAGAATACAGATCCACCATCGTATATATGTCTAGGAGAAGAATAAGTAGTTTCCCACGCAAATTATTAAATATACTTGTTATTGTTCACCAAGACTTTTGAATCTCATTTTATAAGCCCATGATAATATTATCTAGGACTCGAGGCTTCCCGAACTTTTGAGATCACGACCCATTCCAACATTAAATAAATTTCGTGAACCCCTGTTCCAAGGAGCGTCGCTTCTCTGATCCTATGTATTTTCTCCAATTTTTGAGATTTATGTTTTGCACTAGTTTTAATAATTGTGTTTCGAATAATAAGTCTGAAAAAGTACAATAGGTATAGTATTTTGTGTAAAATTGGTTTACTCCTTGCGACCCCTAAAATTCGTTGTGTGTCCTCTCGCTGAGTTGCGACCACCAGTTTGGAAACCACTGATCTAGGTTAGTATCAAAGTCAGGTCAATGCCTCTCATCATAGCCTGCTGCTGAATCCTCATTAAATCATAAACATTTTGTTTTCAGTTTCAACTCTTCAGGATTTCTTCATGCTCACATCTCGTATCTAGATGAAGGTTGTACGACATGTTTGATTCTTCTTTCTGCGGACAGAGATGCTTTCTTCACTTTGTCTCATTCTAAAAGTCTGGTTCTTCAAAAGTTACAAAGGTGTTTATAATATTTCCTAATAATAATATCCCTTGTGAGTTGTGACTGCTTATGCAGAGCTCTGTTTATAGGGGATGTGTGAAAATATCTCCTGGGAAAAAAAATCTACTTCAATACTCCCACTAGGTTTACTGAGAGCTTAGTTCTGTGCAAAAATATCAATATTAGGTGCTCCCGAAGTATGCGAACCAAGATGGCGGACATCGGAACTTAACATGGGTAACAGGTTAGGGTTAGGCGATAATTTTTTTCCAATTTTCCTTATTTTAGTCCTATTATCAGTTCGAAGACTAGCCAAGAGCCTACCGTAGTATTTATACCTAAAATTATGGCCTAACCCTAACCTAGTACACATATTACATTCTGATGTCCGCCATCTTGGTTCACATACTTCGGGAGCCCCCAATATTATTTGATGAGTTATTATTGTATTATTATTTCTAACCCATGATATGTTGAAATCTTATACTATACTACATATGGCATAAAGTCATTTTGGATTTCCATAGCAAATCTTAACTATTACTAGTAACTAACATGGAATAAAGACACACATATTATGATTGTTTGAAACAGACCTAGTTGAACGACGACATCGGATCTTTTGACATCTATACAATATAAATGAGTACTTCCGAAGTATGTGAACCAAGAGGGCAGACACCGGAACGTGGTAGGGTTAGGCCATAATTTTATTCCAGTTCTCCTTTTTTAGTTTTATCACGAGTTTGGGGACTAGCCAAGTGACTCCCCATAATATTTGTATCTGAAATTATGACCTAACACTTATCTGGTACACATACCACATTCCGGTGTCCGCCATCTTGGTACGCATACTTCGAGAGTACCTATAAATGATACACTATTTTAAGTAATGTGGTATGAAAAGTAGACTATATTATACATTGTTACCTGAAAGACAGGATTCATAAACTTGATTATGAAAATGAAGAAAATTCTTTTAACACTCCTAATTGTATATGATTGTACCCAGTAATCTAGGACGATTTGCACAAAAGTATGATACTTACAAGCCAAGTTTACACAAGTCAGATCTAATTCAAATGTTTTTAGACACGATTGTTTAGAAACTCTAGCACAAGCAGGAAGAGTGGATACCTATTCTGTTAGGAAAGTTGGAATTTCAGTTCTCAGGCATTTTATTTACAAATCAAAAAGCACTTCACAGGTAAGAATGAGATACAATGGTAAAGGTTATTAAGCAAAATATATTTGTTTTTGTATTTTGACACTGTTATTGTCCTGAGCTGAAAATACCACAGCCGAATAATTTGGCCATTGGCGCATTGTGCTCTAACGCAGTGGTCGGCAACCACCGGGCCGCGGCCCATTGCCGGTCCGCGGGAAGATTACTACCGGTCCGCCGAAAGGTGACACAAAAAAAGTACAATGCCTTTATAGCATTGTTAATTTGTTACCAGTATGTAACTCAGGTTTTCAAAATTGACAACTACAAAAACGAAATATTGAAGTAGGACGAACCTAAGAAACACGTTATACCTTTGTTTTTGAATGTATTGTCAACCTAACTTTTCTAGCGCATATAATTTATTAAATTACATCAGTTTGTCTGTAATTTGTATAAAGGTGGTCCGCCAAAATGTTGGTCAGGCTCTACCGGTCCGTCACTGAAAAAAGGTTGCCGACCACTGCTCTAATGCACTCTTGCCAGCGTAGCTCTGTTTTGCTGCTCGTATTTGCAGGCTCGAATCTTGTGTGCGTATAATTATGTGTGCAAGAGCATTGCGGACTTCGCCGCACAAGGTGTTCGTGTAACTATGTGCTTTGTTCGTCAATAAGTCCAAGGATCTAGAGCAAATGACTGGTTAACTATTCCAATATCCAGCATGGGCTGCTAACCAGATTAGAGGGCGAGGTTCACCATAAGATAATTTCTTTTTTTTGTATTCTTTGTTACCAATTCATAGTATTTGACAGGGAGGGAGGAGAGTTCCTATGACAGCTGTACTAGTGTTAAGATGTTTTATAACCTGTTTTATGTAGTCTCAATTGACTCAACTCAAACTCGATTTACCACGCTTTTAGTGACAACTTCCACTAACCTCTAGGGAAGCTTAACTCTATAATTGATTTGAACTAGTCTTGAGAGTCTGATATCCCTTATCTTATTTTACCTCTAGAACACAGGTCGGCAACCTTCAGCATACCTGCTGTGATGTGTAATTAGTGAATGGTAATCGACTTCATGCTCCGACTTTCATTGAAACCCAGCTGCTTCTAACTAAAACTACTGTAGCTACTCTGATTCACGGGAGCCAGATCCGCAGGTTGCCGATCACTGCCCTAGAGATTAGGGACTGTCATACATCACTTATTTCAGCCTTATGATAACAGTTACCGGTACATAATTTATGCCTTTCATGCCTAATATTAGAGCATCTAAGTTGCGCAACATTTCAATAGCAATAATTTCCTCGTTTTCAGTTCACCTGTCCCGAAATTGGTCATCCCTACATCACAGAAGATAAACGTAAGCGAATATTCAGTTTATATCAGCACGCCCATGGCAGGATTCATGATGGCTCTTGCCCATTGAAACTTTTGTATCTTGTATTGGAAACTGAGACTATATTGGGATGGGTAAGTGAATGGTGCTTTTTTGAATATTAATTTGGGTGAGTCGGCTAGTTGTTCTGTTAATCTTGCCATGGCCCCCTGCTGGTGCACACTGAACTAAGTTGACGCAGAGGTACGTTCCATACAATGTTCTGTTGTTACTTATCGATCTTAAGATCGGTAAGTATGTTGATAGGTATTTGTCTGTCTGTTAGATGCACGCGATATCTCACGAAAGCTAGGTTCAATCTGCTCCAAATTTTGCATGTGCATTAATCATATCTCGGATTGGAAGCCTATTGATTTTGGATGGATTATGTCGTATAATTAGCGAGCTATCAATTAATTAGTGATGGGACACATGGTGTCACTATGGAGTAAGACCACTGTTTTGGGGGATCCCCTAACCTTCGATCGATAAGTCTTTGGTTTCCAACCGAATTCTAGTTTATTTATTAGTTTGAGTAAGTGGGCTAGTTGTTCTGTTAAGTTGTTTCCATGGGTCCATCACACTTGAAACTAGAAAAAACTTTTAAAATTTGGAACTGACAGGAATTTTTTAATAGAGGGAAGGGGTTCTGAAATTTCTAATTGATAACTTAGACCAGGGTGGTCCAAATCCAGGCCCGCGAGCCACATGTGGCTCTTCGATTCCTTATCTGTGGCCCGCGTCGCATTCAGTGGTAAATCAAAAATCGCATTTCGTGTTGTTTCGTCATAAAATTAACCTTTAGAAAAATCTTTTGACATATTGTTGCATCATTAATGTCACTGAATTGACTAGTGTTATGGCTTGCTGAGGCAACTAAACGAGCGAAGTTCTAGGCACTATTGTGGCCCGCGAACAACGCAAAAGTAATTTTGTGGCCCGCGGAGCTGCCAATCTTGGACCATAACATCTAGTGGGTCTGGCCGGAGGCAGGAAAACGTTGGTCCTCAAAAGCACTGAGGGTCTAAAAAGCGTTATAAGCTACCAACAATTGTTCTGTGTGATATAGAAATATCTATTTTTTTACATTTCAGAAGTGGGTCCCGACCCTCAAACCCCTAGGCCTAGCACATCAGGCTGAACATTAGGAATATGCCTGCCATTGCAGCTGTGGTTAACATTTGCAGATTCGAAGTGGGAATATAGAAAACTAATGAAATCGCTATTTTTATAACTTTTTTTGCATTTCTGATTTCACACTCATTGAATATGCATTGGCTTTTCTGTGTTTTGTTGGACATGAACTAGTTTACGATTTCTTCTATATGATGCTTATTCACACAAGTTATATTGTAGGGCTGGACATTTTCGAATACCTGATGATTTCGGAATTTAATATTTTTTTCTAAGCGAATCGAATCTCGAATACTTGGAAGATGTTCAATCCTATGTGACTTTTTAAATGCTCCTCTATGCACATAAATCACAGAAAACACAAAGTTCAACACTCAGACGATTTGCTGAGCGTTCACAAACAATAAGAAACATGTTTCATCAATAACTCATTAGGACGAAAAGAGTCATATGTCAGAATTGCATTATGGCTTCAATAAAAAATTGAGAATTCACTTCAACCTTTGGCGTCCAAGTGAAAAGCAATATGGCGCCGATTCGAAAATTCTTTATGAATCGATTCGAATAATTTACTGTTTGATTCGAATATTTGATTTGAATATATTAATTTCAAAAAAATATCGTAATTTTGGTGAAGCCCTAGGTTTACCGTGGTGCAACAACTGTTGATATTTGTTGTTTGTTTCCACAAAATTTCCATTTATGTCTTTCATTTTTTCTTCTCAGGTAACTACTGGTTTTGAACTCTACGCCATATTTGGACCTCTCGTCACAAAGAACTCGGCAATACAAGCAGTTAATAGATTACTTAGATGGATAAAAAAGCAAGAAGATGAGCTGTTTATACTTAGACCTCCGATATTTTGATTTTGATGTGAATTCTTGAAGCGCTTTTCACTTTGGAGCTTAAAATAGGTATATATTGCAATAGGGTGCAATACAGAAAAACGGAATAAAATTATGACCTAACCCTAACCTGGTACACACACTACGGGAGTTCCCAATATAATGGCTTCCATACAATATTGCGACTTTCCTTCTTCAGGATGAGCAGATGACTATCACACATAAAGGATCTTCTATATTTGGATTATAAAATTGATAACGCTTTTAACTTTAAACAGAGTAACTTCCTTGCATTATATGTATTTTGATTCCATGATCAGCACAGTAGGAAGGGGAATAAATGGTGCTCTCTAAGTTGGCGCACAGCGTGAACTTAGTATTTGTACCAGGTTAGAGTTATCTGGCTGTATGCCATCTTGGTGCACATACTTCTGGAGCGCCAAATAATTAATAGAAATAGACAACAAAATACTGATTACAGAATCAGGCTAGCAAGAAAACCCTATAGTAGGCACTATTCAAATTTTTGTCAGCCGGTTCCATTCTATTTTTCAGCCGGTTCTGTTACAAACAGAAAATTGACAGTAACCAGTAGTGCTAACAGGTTCGCTGATCTTATAAAATTCCGTGAGAGGATTCTATCGAACCGGCTGAATCCCACTTCTGCATATAAGATGAGTTCTCCATAATCAGCATAACTGGTGATAAACAATAATTGATAAAAGTGAACAAATAAAAACTGATTACAGAATCGGGAGCGTAAACAAAACCTTTAAATTTAAACAATTGGAAAAAAAATATTTAAATGAAAGGCTTAAAGTAGTGGTACGTGTTCACTCAACCTAAAATATATTAATTCACACAAACTCACGTCGGTAACGAAATATAACTAAGTTCCCATGAACATTATTTTTTGCAATAGTTTATATATTTATTTTAATCTTATGCAAATCTATTGTTAAGTTCCATTCGTTAAACTTTTTCTTGATTATCTTTGAAGAGTTGAAATTTGAATCAATTTCTGCATTTTTTGTTATTTGAATAGAATGAAATTGTCATCTTTTAACTCTGTTTTACTTTCTGTTTGTTTTGGCTGTAGTGCTGCTTTGAGAACTTATGGCCTCTCGTCTAGTTACCAGTACATGTCTGGTATATGGTTATTAAGCCAGTATTTGTCTCGTTTGGATAGAATTGAGCAAGTTGTAATAATCAGTTGTTGGCGTGAATCCCCCCTGACTTGTCTGTTTCTTTTGGCTTTAGTGGGGAAAATGAGATGGTCTCGTTACATAACGCAATGCGGCATCTCGTCTGGTTACTAGTCCCTGTCTGATAGGATAGGATTTGTATATTAATGCCAGGGAGATGAAAACCGATAAGACAGCTTAATGATTTGGCGAACCACGGCCTCTCGTCCGGTTACCAGTCCATGTCGGGTATGGGATTGGTTCGTTGTTTGTTTTCGAGAGCGTGGACTCGATGGTGGAGGTAACCGACCAGCCGTTAATTGAACCATCCAACGGCGGCGTGGAGTCCAGCAATCCTCTTGCACATGACTATCCCGCATGTGTTTCTATCCGCGAACCCACTCGAGTAATCGAGGTGCGGTGGCGAGCGTATTTCAAACGCTCAGCACAATGACTATATGCAGCAATTATGTTGTCAGATTTGCAGATTTACTGCCTGATTTCATCTTCGCGATATAGGTCTCACATCCATAGTAAGGTTGCGTTAAACATTGTCAGACGGCTTGCAAAAAAATGGAGCTAAAAATTGATCGCCTGTAAAGACATCATCACATCCTGTTTTGTCTGCGTTTCATATGATGGAATGAGCTTATTGTTTTCTAAACTGTCAATCTTTTTCTCACTTTCTTGTAAGTCTACAGTCTGGTATTTTAGTCTCGTGTTCGACAACTGAAGGTGCTGCGTTGACGCTGAAAATTGAAGCAGGTTTGTGAATTATTATTTTTTTTCGTGTTTCATCAATCATTTCATTTCAGCTTACTCCGATACTCTAAATCAGGGTTACTCAACTATTTTTACCGAAGATCCGCATACAAAACTTCAAAAGTATTTGGGTCCGGTCTTCCCAGAAATTATATTTCCGCATACTTGAACGCGCACCTTTTCGGCTGACTAATGATTATTAGCTCATCAAGATTGTTTATTATGGCGTTATAGTTCTTTTCATATATATTCAAAACTATAAAATTGATTTTATAAAAGGAAACTGCATAAGTGGGGCTAAGGATTTAAACTAAAGAATTAGTTGCGGTCCGAATCAAATACGCGAAAGGTCCAGATTCAGAACGCGGTCCGCCAGTCCCTGCTCTAAGGCAGGGTCGGCAACCTAAGGCCCCCGGGCCAGATCCGGCCCGCGGACTAAAATAATTCAGCCCGAGATGCTTCACTGAATAATTGCGACAAAACTGCTGTTTTCGCGATAATATTTTTTACGTAATTTATTGCCAGACACGTGAGATTATATTATAACCCAGGGGTGACCAACACGTCGATCGCCACGCCTTGGATAGTCGATCGCGTCTAATTTTGAGTGAATTTAATAACTTACCCAAAAATGGCTTTGAAGCAATTTTATGTACCGCGTATTGAGTGTTTTCAAACAGTAATAATACAATACTTACTGTGCATGGGCATAGATAGAGCATAACATTGGACACGTCAGTGGACATAATGATCGTTTTGCATTTTATGCTGGCACTCCTCTTCTTGTTGATCTTTGACTCGTTTTTAAAAAATCGCTTTTCTCTTCGATTACTGGACCAATTGCTTTGAAATTTTAAATGATTAAAGATTGATTTTTTTGCCAGAAGGCTATTACTTTTATTCATTTCAAAAATTCCTGTGAACTTTAAGAGATTCGTTTATTATGTGTCAGAATAAAAAGTAGCGGCACCTCGTGACGTGTACATAAACTTGAGCATAGCTCTCTTGTAACTAATGAAAGTTTCGCTGCAGCCAGGAAATGAACTTGCCAAATATTGCGTGTCTTGACTGAGGAACGATCCTACAATAACTTGCAAGATCGAAAGTTAGTGTCACGCTCTAAGAGTACTGTGATAAATTTTATTCACAACGGCAGCAGTGGCATCAAAATGCCCAATTTCATATTAATTCCAAGCGAGCGAAGAATCGTACTCGGCGGAAATTGTAAATTAGAAATTTTAAGCAGTCATGTAACATTTATTTTGGGATAATTTATTTTTCGCTGTTTAGATAATACTTGGCAAGGTTTTTTTGAGTAGTTTCCAACACTAATGACTAAAAATTGGGCAGATAATAAATCTGAATTGTATGGTTTGAATAAATCTTAAATGAATGATGAAACATTTACTCCGGGTACAATTACATAATCAAAGTAGCAAATTGAATATGACATGAAAAATGATAAAAAAAAATGACGATTTCAATAAGAATGCGCATTCAAGAATGTACACAAAAAACGAAGCTTTATTGGCAGCGGGGGAATTTTTGTATGCGTGTGTGCATATTCAGTAGGCTACTTATTCAGTTTTGCATTTGGCCTTATTACCGATGAGTCGATCGCGAGCTATTTTATCGATTTTAATCGGAAGAAGGTTGGCCACCTCTGCTATAGCCCAGAAATTCATGAACGGTTTCACCTTTGATGAACATACAATTTAATTATATTTATAATTAGACAACTGGCAACAAGACACAGAAAAGTTGATACTGAGTGCAATGCGATAAGGAAATAAAATCTATATTCTATTTTAGAGATGTATCGCTGCTAGATTTTTATAAACGTATCTTCTTGAAGGAAAAATCTATCCAAATTTGACAAACAATGCGAAAAAATTTACATCGATGTTTGGAAGTAGGCCACATATGCGTTCGAACAATTATGCGGTATGCAACAAGAAGTGTCACTTCAAATGTCATTTGTGATTTTTTTGGCAAGACGACTAAGTTAGTTCACAAGTTTTCGCGGTCTTCTTCATTTTAACTCCTGATATGTTGTGAAAAACTTGTGATTCATCGGCCATCTGTTTGAGTTTAAATTTCCAAAAATATATGCGGCCCACCAACTTTGGCCCGCGAGCGACAAAAGGTTGCCGCCCCCTGACCTACACGGTAACTCTTAGAGCAGGGGTGGGCAACCCCTGGCACGCGTGCCAAACTTTAGTTGGACTTGCTCCAAAGGGCACAATTCGACAGTGTTTGATTCATTGAGTGCTTAGAAGACTAGAGAAGCGTCATGTTTTGTGTAATATCAAGGTACCTTTTGGCCCATGGTTCAATGGGAAACATATTCTAGATTTAATAATATTTTTCAGATACAGATTCAAAAAAGTAAATAATTTGCCTATGGTCGGAGTAAAAATTTTTACTTTTCAATATATGAATATATAATGGTACAGTGGGACACGTTTTTTGGGGCATTTTAGTGGAAAGATGTGTGTCGCTAGGGAATTTCTTAGTCGATGAATAAATACTACATTAATTAACCCCTATCTGCATTCGCCCAGCAAAGTGAAATGAATGTGCAGAATATAGGGTTCAAAATATGCAAAAGAAAAAAGTGTCCCAACCTTCCCTACTCTTGATCTTAGTGTGCCTATGTTTGAGTGTTGCTTTTTTCTTTTCTTTTTCAGAATGTTGTATATCAAATTATTCGTGTTTTCTCTGGTTGTTCTAATGATTGTTTTAAAGGAAACAGCAATGGCCCAATGGCCATACAATACTCTCACATCATCATAGATGTGAGTAAATTTTCAGCATAGCAATAAATTGGACAGGCTCCACCCACTGCCTCACTAAAATCTTACATAACTGAGAAAACAAAGCAAAATCAGAAATATGTGATTGATTGTGTTAGGGACTAAATTTTAGTCCATGCCACCAAGTCCATGCTTCCTAAAAAAAATAACCTGCTAACTAATCTCATAACCGAGATGGACTGGTAACCGATTGAGATGCCGTGGTTCGCCATATGAATAATTCGTCTCATCGGCTTTCTTCTCCCCCGGGATAAGCATGTAAAATCCCATCCTAAGTGTAATGAAATACTTTTAAAACAGTCAGTATTGATGTATATATGTTATGCACTTTATTTGTTTGTTTCAGTTATTGAAGACGATCCTGATTTGCTGGAAACTTGGTGAATTGCGAACCGGGACCTGGAATACAATATTTTATTTAGTGCATGTTTAAATATATATATATAATGAAGAAAATATGTTATAATAAAAGCTATATTTATGGTATTTAATATTTGAAAATTATGTATACTTAATATACTATACTATATTTTTGTGTTATTTATGGTAGATTATGGGTAGCCTACTGCCGTAGTATGTCAACCAGGTTAGGGTTAGTCCATAATTTTATTCCGGTTTTCCCTATATTAGTTCTATTACGAGCTCGGGGACTGTCTGTGTCAGCAAAGTAAATATATACTTCCTGTCCATAGGTTTCAGTCCCTCTCTACACAACTTGATGTAAAGAAGGCAAACAAAATTAGACACCGCCATATTGGTGCACACTCTGATAACTCTAACCTGGTACACATACCAAATTCAGGTTGGGCGTCATCTTGGTGCACATACTTCGAGAGCACCATAACGTTCAGCAACTTCAAAAATCAGTATATTCAATTTAATTATCTTAATGGAGACAATGTGTCTGTATATCGACTGCAAGTGGACGTGGGCGGTGAACATTGGCCCAAAAGTATGTATGAACGAATTCGGCAATGTGCGTATGAAAATCTTTGATTCTTTCATAGGCGAACTTGATAAGAAGTTGTAGATTGTAAGGTGGCGTGCGATACTACGGACATAGTAAGACTACTTCTAAATATATATAAATTTGAAATCTTACTTAGTTTATTCCAACAATGTCTTTTGTATATATTTTAGTTCAATGTCAACATATTACAGATTGCTCCATTTTATTTCGAAAGTAAAACAGAGCATGAAAGTAATGTAGGAAAAAACGTGTACGGAATTACATCCTATTATGTGCCTATTAATATGCTAGAATTTCTTGTGGTTTTGTGTTTGACTGCTTGCAACAATTCGAAATTGT